TATATATATATATATATATGGATAGTCCAAGGCTATACCAATGTCCCTTCTGATGGATGGTTTGGGGATTAACTAAACCCAAGTGAACGTCCATGCAAGCCCCAGTCCAATTGGTATCCAACCATACATCAAAAGAAGGAATCCTGAATCTAGCAAAGGAGTACCGCACACTTAGGTCCAAACCGAACTATGTCATATATTCCCAAAAGTCACAATTCCACAAGACATGTTTTAGCATACAAAAAGTAGCAAGAAAAATAAATCTAAACAGTAAAGAGATATAGGAGTTACGGCCAGGGGTCGTCGCCAAGGAGAAGAACATCATTGTCCCTGTCGATGTATATAAGCTGCCAGCCTGATCTCAGAGGGTCCTCCAACTGGCCTTCAAGGCCAAACATACGAGCGAGCTCACTGCGCAGCTCAAGGTAGCTGCTAAACCTTGTGATTTCCAGTGACCTCCCGAAGGACCCTGACTTACAAACCTAGAAAGGGGACAACATAATCATGAGAAATGAAAGAAAAAAGAGGAGCATGGCAAAGGAATGTAGAAGTTGACTTTTATATACTGAAGAAATACAGGTTAAAAGTTATGTAAAAGCAGCCAAAACCCAAATGAAACAAAAAATCATATATTTTCATAGCCTCGCCTAGGTCCTGGCAAATATATTTAAACCTACATTTCTTTCGGTAATTAAAAATAATTTACAACTAATTAGAAAAGGTAAACCATGAAATCTAGATCAAAAAACATGGTACACACCACACATATCAAAGGAAAAACTATCAAGGACCACACCAGAAGAATATCCAACAGACAATTGTAGTAGCAGTTTGGTAGTTTCTTAAACATATGAATTAAAGGAGAGATACATTGGCCTAAGATAAATTATGGAACAGGAAGGGGGGAAGGAAGAAAATCATGTTCTCCAGAATAAAAATATTAAAAAACAACTTCAGTAAAACTGTATGGAATATGTGGCCATAAGTGCTTCATTCTAACCTGAAAATATAGTTCTGACAGTACAACCAAATCCCAATACAACCAGAAAAAAAAGCCAACAAATTTCTGTTATTCTAAGAGTAAGAACCCATAAAAATAATTGAGCATCAACCTTTTACTAACAAAACCAAACAAAGCATACCATGCAGCATCTTTTACCTTCACAAAATTTTGTGGATTTATCTGACCCACATTCTCCGGTGAAGGCAAGAACCCAGATTCATTCAAGCAACCGCTACCCGCCATCCCTGGGTTCAGAAAATCCGTTCCCGGATTCCCTAAGAAATTTGATGCCGCATATGACAAAGCAGCCGAAGGATCTGTATCTCCACCCAGTCCTCTAAGAGCCGAAACCCCATTTTGCATCATGAGAGATGAAGAGTCTATGTTCACACCAAACAGTAGATGGCTTTGTGGGTCTCCAACGCTACCTTCCTGATCAACTGAGCACTCTCTTCCTGGAAATGGTAGCAAAGAGACTGGGTGTTGTGCCATATTGGGTTGTGTAGCCAATTGCTCCACATGGGGCAATACAATTGGCCCTCCTGATGGTAGAGAAGAATCAATAGAAATCCTCTTGGAGAGCCAAGGAGCAGAAGGTAACATGTGATCCCTTGGAAGAGTTGCAGAGTTGGTTCTTGGCAAGTTGAGGTGGGAGCTCTCATCAGGTGGGAACGACCCCAATATACTCTGTAATGGGGATATGCTAGTAGTTGTAACGGGGTTTCCATTGGAGTCTGAGAAGCTAGATTGCTGGCATAATGAAGAAGAGATAGATTGGAGAGATGGGGATTGTGAAGAGGAGGCGAGTTGTGAAAGGGCTGAGACCACATTAGGGATTTGGAACTGTTGTTGCTGGGTTTGTTGTTGATCAGGCAATTGTTGTTGGTTTTGTTGTGAGTTGTGCTGCGAGTTTTGCTGCTGCTGATCATTGAAGGAATGTTGGTGCTGCAACTGATGAGAGAGAATATGATTTGGAGATTGCGTCTCTTGGATCGCTTGGAGAAGCGTTTGCTGGGATTGAGGGGGTTGAGTTTGTTGCATTATTTGTCGTTGCAGCATAGGGTTTGGTCTCGATTGAAGGCTTTGTTGAGTTTGTTGAAGAGGTTGTTGAAACTGGAGAAGGGAAGCAGCCCCTTGTTTTGAAGGATCAATACCCCCCCTCATCTCTTGAAGGGCAGCTGCAGCCATTGCTTGGTATACATCAGATTGCATGCCAAGAAGGGAGGAGTCAAACCTTTGAGGCATCCAAGGGGAAACCCCAAGTCCTTGAAAATTGAGAGACTGCATGTTCCGGTCTGCACCATCCCTCAGCCACATCAGAGGAGCACTCATGCCCAAATCATCATCTTTGTTGCCTGCAAAACATTATCAAGTTTAAGAAACACACAACACAAAAAGGTAATCATCGGTGTGCATGTATGTACACGATCACAGTCCACAGAGAATATGTATGTGTGCACATAGAGAATTTTCTTTTTTCAATTTATAAAAAAAAAATAGAATGGTAGATATATGCTTTTGTGTGTGTGTAGCGCAAACGTGTCTACATGTGCCATATGTACCGAGTACAAATGAATAGGTGTAGATGTGGAAAGAAAAGATGAACTTGAAGGTTTCCTTATGACCTTGTGTCATTTCTGAAGAACTAGCAGAAAAAATACCATGAAGAGAGGGTAATCCAGGGGGCCATGGCCGTTTTAGCCTGAGAGGAAAAGGAGATGGATACATTGGGAATGTCGTTAAAGGCTCGATCTCCCACAGGGAGACCCTCGGCTGCCTCTCCCCTGCCGTGGACTCATCCCAGCCAACCTTCAGAAATTAAGAAACGGAAAGACATTATGGCACTTCTACCAAAAATCTTCTCTGGTAAAACCATAACAATACGAAGTTCATGAAGAAATAAACTCAACAATCCATTTTCAACGTCAAGAAAGTCAGGGCAACATTTATTTTCCATAATAAGTAAATGAACCAGTTATCCAGTAAATAAACCACAATCAACACACCTTGACAGAACGCCAGTGTGAGTTAGGCCAACGAACGGGATCTAGATCACTGATGCCAGTGATAGTTCCCATATACCTGCCAGAACCATTTTGCGATTATAACAGTTCATAAGATATCCTAATATTTACATGTAGAGCAGAATCAAGCAGAAAATTGCGTCAAATAGAAAAGCAAAAGAAAATATCGAGGAGAGCATTTTATTTACTAGAATGAAATCTTTGCTTGAAAGAAAAATTTTGAAACCGAGACAAAAAATCAATCTTTTGCTATTTCTGTTCGAACAGTTTGAAATCTAATTTTTCCGACAATGAATTTCACTGAAATTCAAACTTTTCCTTTGCATCACCAAGACCAAATTATTACATATTAAAGGATTTCAAGCCAGGATAAATCATAGCCAACATCTAGTAATTGTCATCCAAGAATTTCCAAAGGAAAAAAATATCTACCTCCGTACACTCGACTCTTCAGTCTCAAACAGCATTCGGAAACGCATTCCAACTGAGACACGTGTATGGTACACAGCTTTAACATATTTGGCAAGAGGTATCACAAATTCAGAGGGGCTTGCCCTGAAAAAAAATATAATCTATAAATTAACCCATGCAAACAAATTAGCATCAGAGACGCAAATTGATATTCTGTGAACCGAACAGCTACCTTGGGTTATAGAAAATAGTAAATCGACTATTTGTAGCAGCAGCATGAGCAGCTGCAGCAAGAAGCCCAATATGCATACTATCACTTGATAGAACAGACGAAGGCATGACAGTTTGAGGGCGATTAGCACGCCGGATACCCAGGAGTAACTGATTCTTTTCATTCCTGATATTAATAAACAGTACGAAAAGTGAGAAATGTGAAGAAACAGAGCAATACCTATTTTTCCTTTCCTTTGGGGTATCCATTTTTTTCTTTTTTAGGGAAAAAGGAACAATGCATTATAATGAACCTGAATGAACAAGAACATAACAAAGAGGCCAACAGGAAGATTCAGAATACCAGATAAAAAGGACTGAGTCGCCAGCAACAAGCCTCTTTGCACTAACAAATACACTCCACCCTGTTGTAAGAAGATGCCTCTTAGGCTGACCTGCAGAATACAAAACCAAATGAGAGCACAAATAGAGTAGCTTTTCTTTTTAATCTAATAGCAGATAGATTAATTTCATCCCTAGATGACCTGCTAGAGGACACATATGGTTACAGATACCATAACCATAAAATGTGAAATCCTTCATTTTATAATCAATTGGCAAGGAAAAAACAACACTTATTTCCAAAGTGCCTTTTCATGTTTCACAGAACAATTTATATTACAATCTCACGTCTCAGCATTAATGGGGAATAATGTACAGTATAGCAGCTTTCATTTCACCATTTACTATAGAATATAAAATTGCAGGACTTTCATAGGCAAAGACGAAGCTAAACAATAAATTGGCAGTTTGGAGAAGTGTAATACTTTTCCACTCCCTGAGCCCATTCATGAGGAAATAACATTCACCAAGCATATCAAAGTACAAGCGCATAAATAAGGAATCTGATGTCATAGCAAGAGAATTATGCATTGGGTAGCAATATTGCCCCTGAACTAGTGCCTTCCCTGCAATTTTGATAAGATCCCTAATGCGAAATCATAACTTTGCATCTCCATGTACTAAGTGCTGTTTCCTCGACATCTCTAGTATAAGCCACACGGCCAATCACATCAAACTCCATGCTATGTGTAAGCTAATGAGTCAGCCTACATCAAAAACCTCAATGGATGGATCAAAAAGGGTACAATTCAAATAACACAAGTCACTAGGGCCATAAAAACCAGAGGTTAAGTTCGAACTCAGCAAAATTCAGATCAATGTAGTACAAGCATTCCTAATTTGTCTTAGCACTCCTCCTCAGGTGACAAGGCTCCAAATGAGCTCCAAAATAGTGAACTTTAGTGCTCCCCATTTGTGCACGCACAACCAAATTTTTTAATTTTGGTTTCACAGGACAGCCTTGCGGTCCCATTCACCTTTGACAAACCAAGCCATCCACAATAATGCCTAAAAGTCATTCTAGATAAGTTTCCACCATATGATGGTCCCTTTGATTTTCTCTCCCAGTTCAGCACTGCAGATTTTCTTCAGAACATTCTCACGTTCATTTTCCTCCATAAACTGTTAAAGGGCCATCTCCCAAAGGAAATATCCACTTTACAAGAATGGTCTGCAAAACCAACTCTCAAGGAAACTCAAGAGATGAAAAAAAGGTCTAAGAAAAAGCACCACATACTTATTGTGAAAATGCAAAGTGAACATATGGATAAACTACCCGCAGACAATGCACCAAATGCGTTAAATGAACCCCAAGAAGTATCATGTGACTTGTCTGACATCATCCATCATCCAAAAGCAAGGGCACAAACTTCACATAGGCCAACAGGATGGTATCAACTTCTTCATCCTCAGTAATTAAAGAGCAGAAGAAGTTTATAATTCCTTGAAGGCAGACCACAACTTTCCCCAAGAGTAACTTCAAGGTGAATAGTTTTCAAATGAATCAATGTACTTGTTACATATCAGTCTGGGATGAAAAAAAAAATGAAGTACAGAATATAAAAATCCTAGATGCAAAACACATACTGTACTACTGAAGCAAAAGAAGATACCCACCACGAAAGATGTGGCGGAATTTCCACTCATTATCATGAAGGTCCCTTGCAATCAGCTCTTGAGCAGGTGGTTGTTGAGTGAAGTCCTAAAGCAAGAGGCACAAAATAGAAGATAGGTCTAATAAATTAGACGATATAAACAAATAAGGAAAGCATACTGTATCCAATGGAATGTGGAAAAGTCCATTGATCACCGTCCACTGAAATGAACAACGGCGACGGAAAGTGGGACCCACCATTGGGTTGTGTCCCAATTGTGGTTTCTTTTTGGACTTCTTCAGCAGGAGAGAAAGGATCTGAATATGAGACTAACCAATGGAGGGAACACTTTCTCAGCAGCGCGTCTAGGAACAGAGAATCCCCCATGTGTACTGGTATCACTCGCAGTCAAAGTCTTACAAAAGTAGTTTGTTGGTTGCTTGCCAGAGGTACCCAAGTCGGCCGGGAGGAAAGCATCCTTTTGCTCTTGCTATAGAAAAGCATTGTAGAATTAGATATAGAATATGCCCAGGTCTGGCAGATATAAAGAAAACGGATTGATAAATCAGTAGTAGCAATCTATAATTACCGGATTCAATGGTTGCAAGGTCATTTGAGCATAAACCTCATCTGTCTCCACATCTGCCTGAATTATGACAGCTTACCGTCACTGAGAGCAGTTCAGAAAGTGTAGAAATCCAGATATATGACAAATGTAAAAAAAAACTCACATGCATGGTGACATTGTGAAGCTGGCAGATAAGTTGGGGAGGCAAGCTGGGATAATTGGGTATATGAGCATCAACTTCTTTATTTGTTGAAGCAGCCACCTGCAAGCACACAATCAGCATTCAACATATTTGAAATAAGAAAAATGGAAGTTTTTTGTTCAAATATCATGAGAGCATAGGAGGTTGCATGCCACGAATGCAGCCTTTAGATACAGCCACACACGTATGAACGTTGATTATCAAGGTTGCTTCAGCTATTCTCCAAATAACATTTCTCAATGAAATTGGACAAGTTTTACAAGGAAATTCGGCCAAATTTATTTATTTAACTCACAAACACGTTGCATGAAGACACCCACCACTCACTGCAACGCATCACAGTTGCTTTTTTTAACACTTCACAGTCATGACTCATGCAAAACTAATAGAGAACCTTTTCCGAATTGTGTCAGACAGGCAGTATGGTTACTTTCTGATTTTGCCCCTCCACCAAAATACCTGCCTTTCTTTAAAAAAGACTTTCTTTAGAAGAAATAATACTGATATCTTGTTTTACTATTTTAATTAATACCTACTTGAGAAATTTTCAAACACTGATAGCATTCAAAGAACTAATTGCAACATCAAAGTTCAGCATTTCGAAGACCAATATCTCATGACTGGCAAAATGTCAATCTTGAAGGAAACCGATATTTTGAAATGGTGCTTTAAAACAGAAAGAGCTTTCTGGCAGAGGGACAATACGGAAAGTGACCGTCCTACAAATTACTATGTAAATACAAAGAATAAAAGGAGGTGACTCGTCAAAATCACCATCTCCTAAGGCTGATCTCGGATTAAAGAAAAAGAAAAAAGAAAATAAAAGCCCAAAAGTATTTTCATCCCATTCCCCACACATAAAAAAAGGACATCAGTGGAAACTTTACTTTCAGGAATTAAGCGAAAACAAACAAGCAAATATTTACCTGCTCACTATGACCCTGAGGGAAGTATACCACTCGGCTCCCAACAGCAGGGAGAGACACAAGAGGACCAGCACATGCATGCCATAGTTCTGAATTAAGGCATCTCTTTTCTCCTGCCAAATTCCCATGCAAAATGCAGTTGCTATTAAATCACACAAAAATAATTCAAACAACCAAAATTTCAAAAAAACTATTTTTTCACTTCAACTTCTTTTTGAAGATTCATTCTTTCACTTCATCAGTACTAACAACAACATGAATGTGGGATTAGGTCTTGGGCTTGATTGGTTAAGGTGTTAATGCTTGCAACACAACATCCAAAGTTCGAATATTACCACTGAACTTCGAAATAGAAAATGAATATCATGCAGATAAGAACAAAATAGAATATCTATTAAGAACAAAATATAATATCCACTAATCAACAAAAAAAAAAAATCAATGCTGGCAAATCACATAATTAGACAGTATGCACAAAAAAAGTAAAAAAGGGCACAAAAGGAAAAGGCACAGCCAACGAATTTAGTAATCTAAAATCCATTTCTAATAATGGTGTTTTTATCTATCCAAAATTCATTGGAAATATTGGTGTAGAACTCATCAGAAAATACCATCTCACCAAAAAATAAGTTTTATTTTTAAGATCTTGGGTGGCATCTGTCAACAGTTTTAAATACAGCTTTATCAAGGCTACATGTATCATTCCTGTTTCCAATTAATATAGCATATATACCGGAATAAAATGAAAAAAAACCAGAAAAAGAAAAATAAGTATGTCCAAAAACAAAGCAAGCAGATGAAGTGGCTAAGAAGCTGAGAACTGCCAAAATAGAATTCCTGTTCAGAAAAAAAGAACTGCCAAAACAGAATTCAACTTTCTGGTCCCCACATCGTATCAAGCAAATGAACAGCCCAAAACGACATCCCCACATTCAAATGGCATAAATTATAGGGTTTGAGAGAGGAATCAGAAGGTGGGACAGTAATAGAAAAACCAAACTCGAGTGAGGCATGAAGTAAGCACCACAGAATAAGGAGAAGTACTCATTCTTGAAAACTTCAAAGAAAGAAAGATGGTGTGGTGGAAACAGAAAGCAGAGTGAAGAATTAATAAACAAGCCTTTTTTTTCTAGAGAACAGTAATAAACAACCTCTACACAGTCACAGGCAAAATATAGTGTCAACCTATCCTTTTAAAAGAATGAAACAAAGCATCCCAGAAAGTTCAGCAACCATTGATAATACAAGCAAAATCATCATTATAAGAATAAATTGGGAATATATAAAAAATAAAAATCAAGATCAGTCCCCACTTGAAAAGAGACCAGAGAAGACGTTCTTTTGTGCTAACTAAAAACTTCAAAATTTACTAGAAAAAGAAGAGACCACCTATCCAGGGAAGCAGCAAAAAGCATGAGGTAAATAGTGATTCATATTAAATTTGAAGCCAGGAATTCAGAAATCTGGTTCATGCATGTTGTAAAAATTTCAAGGAGAACCAAAAAAGACTACTAAGAAAGCAATACCTTCCTGTGATTGATGTGAGAAACTTGAAGAAGAAAGCTTCATTTGTGCTTATGCGTATACAGCTTCAACAAGGTAAGAGACGCCCCAAAACAGATGCTTGAGTAACTATGACCCTGGTTTTTCTCTTATTTGCTAACCAATATTATGGGCACTGATCACACTCTCCTCTTGACTATCAAAGACACCCAAACTCTCTCCCCATATGGCTCCAAGAGCTTCAATGTCAGCAAATCCTCAGCTGTTCCAATCATCTGCAAGGAAAAGAAGAGGACCGAAGTTCCAGTCAAGACTCGAATCCTTTTCTGACTAGGCTGAAGATGAAGCCCCAATTTTCTTCAACTGAATTCCAGCAAACCCCAAGCGCCCAGGTGATTCGAACAGGAAATAGCGATCACCATCAACCACGTTCATGCAAGGAACCAGGTTTCTTCTACCAAATTAAAAGCATAAATACCAATTTCCTCTCTAAAAAAGTTTCAGCAGAACCCTTAACAACCTCCCCTCCCTTTACGATGAAGTATAGGCAAAAAAACGAACACCGCCAGCTTCAACCAAACCCAGTTCCACTGCAACTTTTATTGCGTTTAAACCTCATTCGGTCCAGGTGATCAAGAAAACCCAAAACCCAAGGCTTGTCGACTGATCTTTTAAGGAGCGGAGCATCTCTCAGCCGAAAACTAGAGGATTTCCTCACATGATTTAACCAGAACTCGCCTTCTCAGGAGCTTCATTTTAAATCCCCTCTTAAGCCTCATCAGCATCAGATCCCCAAAATCAAGGTCCAGCGTTTAAACACCAAAAATTAGGGATTAAACACTGGAAAATCAAAGAAAACACCAAGGTGCATGCACTTGAATTTACAGAAGAGTAAAATAGGAATTCAAGCACAGGATCAGTGCACAAATACTACCATGACAAATAGCACTTGCAAATTCGGCCACCCCAGATCTCTCTGAAAAGAATAATCAGGGTTTCAACGCAAAAGAGTGAGAAAATTTGCCCTGATTTTTAAAGTTAACAGCATGTACCTCCACTGAGACACAAATGAGAGCTTCACTTACTGGAAATGATCACCCTAAGTGGTAAAGTAAGAATCTCGACACAAAAACTAGGGCTTTAACACCTATCCGGAAGGGAAGCCCTCAAGCACTAACTCACTGAAACTTACGAGAGAGTTGCAGAGGTCATTAGCCAGACTGTTGCTTCACAAAAGTCTTATTTTACATAAAACTTCAATATCTCTTAAACAAGATCGCTGAAAGCGCAGTAAATTAGGCTTTCAAGGCCAAAAGCTAAAGACCTTAGCATCGGAACTGAAAGAAACACCAAGGCAGTTCCCCTGAAACTTACAGAAAAGCTGAAAAACTTCCTTAAATAGAGCTTCTTTCAAAAAAAAACACCATTTTAGACCCCATTCTCAACTAAAATCGAACCAGATCCCCTTGAAACCGCCGCTTAGGGTTTCAGACTTACAAAGAAGCTACACTGAAGCTCTAAAAGTAAAGCTTCGACCGAACAAGCGAATGATTCAGGCCCTGACAAGGAGAGACACAGTGGAAACACTGAGTAAACATGTGAAACTACAGAGACGGAAAGTCCTCGACAATTACGATCTAAACTCTCAGATCTCAGCCCCTAGAGGTCTAAAAAAGCTCCAGCTCCAGAGCTCCTTCTATACAACAGATGGGACCAGACAAACAAGAGAAGGGGTTCTTTTCTCTCTCTAAAACTGGCTTCTTCTGGTTCTTCTGGACAAACCAGAGCTCTGCAATTCCTCTCCTCCTTCCCTTAAGCTCCCTTTCAAGCTCAACAGTGTACGGGGGGCTCCTGCTTTTTCCACAGCGATCAATCACTGAGCCAAATAGAGGAATGCATTACTTATTTCTTCCTTTTTATATACTAGAGAGATTCCTAGAGAGAGAAAGATAGAGAGAAGGTAGGTTGTGACGTGAAAGAGTGGACAGCAAAGAGGGAAGAAAGACCCTCACACTTATGCTAGAGGGAGAAAATTGGAGGTGGTGAGAAAATTTCGGTGGATACGTAGAATCTAGAGAGAGAAAATGTAGGTACATAAATTTTAGAGAGAGAAAAAGCGGAGTGAAAAACTGAGATGGCCTTAGATCTTATACAACAATAGTTTTTGGGGTAGATGCATAGAGAGAGAGAGAGTGTGATGGGGAAAGAGAGAGAAAATAGTGAGAGAAGAGGTGCGGATATACATAACTTATAGAGAGGGGAATGAAAAGGATATAGGCTTTGATAATGGGGGACTATACGAATTACTACTCGTATTAATTGCTTGGGGTAGAGAGAGAAATAATATGTCGAGGGAGATAGGAGACAAGGAAAGTATGGAGGTAAGATGAAGTGAATAGATATAATGCGGTACTTTTGGTTTGTGTGAAAATATTGTTTTTAAAAAAAAATTAACATAGGAAAAAATTCTTTTATACGGTCAAATGTAGGAATATTTTTGTATCAATTGGTTTTAGTATATTTTTTCACATCAATTGATAACTAATTGATGTAAAAATATTTCCACACTTTATCCCACAAGAGGAATTTTTTATTTTTTACACGAACCAAACGTTTAATTATAGAGAGAGAAGGGAGACCATTTATTTTTTTTCTATCCTTTCTCTAAATCGAAAATTATTATTTAGAGAGGGAAGAAAAAAAAAAAAGATGGTCTTATGTAATTAATAATTTAATTTAAAGATCACATATCTGACTTGAATTTGCTCAAGTTGGATCGGGATCAGCTGCCAAGCAATTCTGAATTGTAGAAGCCAAAATCACCAGGATCTCTTGGGGTCTTTTATCTTATCCATTAAATTTTCTTTTTCTTTTGTTTTGTTTATGTATCACCTGCATTTGAATGGGCCAATCATAATGATTTTGACCCTTGCAAGTTAGAACTCAATTCCGATTTTTGAAACTTTATCCAACCCTTGTGAATCGAAATCTGAGTCCAATTTTTGAAACACCAAAGAGAGAATACATGAGGGAGATAGTGGAATGAATGAAAGTTTTACATATTGACAATAAATGAGGGAGATAGTGGAGAACAATGAAGTTTTACCTCAAATTATTACTAAATACCACTAGTGTTAAGGAGGAATTAGAATCCGAATCTAAAGCGTCTGAGCCGATTTTTTATTTTGAAACTTTATACAACACCTACAGGATGGCGCCGGATTCGGATTTTTGAAACATTGGAAGGCCATAATAACATCGATAATGACTCCACAACTCACTCATTTGTGGTTGGTAGAGAGAGAAAGTACAAAAAGAATAGAGGAGCGAGAAAAATCAGAGGATGAGATGAGGTGAGAGAGATAAGAGATGAGATGAGGTGGAGAGAGATCAGAGATGAGGTGAGAGAGAAGGTCATGGGAAGTGATTGGACTCTTTCCTTGTGAAGGTGGACGGAGTGAGAAACGGGCGTCGTTAGACGGTTGAATTCTAGAGAGAGAAAACATGGAGACGGTATGCTCCCACGAGGTAATCGAGTACAAAACCAAGTATGGACGGAGTGAGAAACGGATACCGTTAGAGAGAGAAAGCAAGAAGACAACATTTTTAGAGAGAGAGATATAGATATTGTTAAAAGCGCAGGAAAAGAGGGAATCGTTGAGACTTGGGAGTGATGTTTTAGAGAGAGACTATCTAGACAAAACGGATACCGTTAGAGAAAAACAGTAAGACTAACATTTTTAGAGAGAGATATAGATATCGTTAAAGGCACTGGAAAGGAGGGAATGGTTCAGACCTGAGAATGCTATTGTTTTAGAGAGAGAAAATCTAGAAAAGAGGAATGGTTGAGACTGGAGAGCATTATTGTTTTAGAGAGAGAAAACTTAGGGACTAGAGAATATTAATGTATTAGAGAGAGAAATGAAGAGCAGATTCTTAGATAGGAATGGGAAAATAAGGCATAATTTAGATTTGGAAAGTCTGAGAGAGAGGAGTGTGGAAAGTGGAATGGTTTGAATATTGTGGCCATGAATAAATGGGAGAGAGACATGTCAAGAGAGGTGAAACAAAAATGGTTGATGGAAGAGAGAGAATATACATTCTGGAGAGAGAAAGTTAGGGGAAAGATGTGAAGTGAGGAGAGAGAAGATTGTGGTGGGATAAGGAAGGAAAGGGCAGTGAGAGATGACGATTTTAGAGAGAGAAAGAAAGGAGAGGATTAGGATTCATGATTTAGTGAGAGAAAGTATAGTGCTACACGCTTTGTGGTTGCGGTCTTAGAGACAGAAGAGTCGAGAGGCAAAATCTGCATGGTGGGGTTGGTACAATCGTGGCCGTCGATATGGCGTGTGCGGGCCCCCAACGGTGATGTGACGTGACATGTGCCACAGTATGCTTTATCGGTCGCTGTCAGCGTACGGTGGCTTTCACACAATGAATAAACCGCGGCTCATTATTTTCTCTCTCTTGATTTAAAGGACTTTTTCTCCCTAGATTTTTTAGCCTCTTCCTTGTGTTTCTCTCTCTAAAAAATTTTAACCATTTTTTTTTATTTTTTTGCGTGCTGAAATAAATCAGGGGAAAATAAAAAAAAAGGCGCTAATTAATTTTCTTGGGTTTTAAAATATTAAAAAAAATAAGGATCAAAAATAAAAGTTTTTGTGGGTACACGAGGGCTGCTTTGATGGTGCCGTGCCGCTCTTTGACCGCTTCAATTCCTCGCCGAATGACTACGGCGACATTTTAGCCCTGTGCTGCAAGTCGCACGTACCACTATGTTGCACACGTGAGAGAATTTCGCACGTAGCATTTGCTGCACGCGTGTTTACCGTGTGAAACATATTGGAAGAGGATAATTGCCGATCCGGATTGAGAATCGATAATAGCATACCTATCAAACTGGGATTGCTTCGACTTTGTGAGGAATAACTTGATAAGTTTATCATGGAGCGAAGCAATTTCGATTGGCCGAATTACTCCTTTTTGTTTTATTTTTATTTTTTAAAAGTTTTAGATGTTTAATTAAAAAATATTATTTATTTCATTTTGTTGGAAAGATTTTCACATCAAAGAATCTAATATTAATATGTTTGTCTTTTTAATTGGGAGTTTACTAGAGGGTGCTGTGCGCATAGGGTTGCAATATTAAATATTATTATTAATTAAATAAAAATAATAAATTAATTTAAAGCAAATTTTTATTGAGATTGAAAGTTATGAATCCAAATTAACCAAAAAAAAATCAATTTTACATATG